TGCTAGACATTGCATCCCCAGCCCTTGGTGATGAATCAGACCAGTGAGAACTTTGAGCTCTCAGACCTTCACAGTATGGGAGGGGAGAAAACCACAGACACCAGGAGCCACAAGACAATGTGGCAAGTGCTAGAACATACAACAGGGACACAAGGCCTACAGGTGTGCAGAAGAGGGTGTGGTGGGTGATTCTGTTGGTGCCTAAGGGCAGGCCTGCCTCCTTCAACTGCATCCAACTTTTTATTAAGTATGACATACTGGCAGAAAAGTATAAAATCCTTTAAGCATAGCTTAATGTACTCTCACCACTGAACACACCAGTATAACTAGAACCCAGGTCAAGAAAGGGAACATTGCCCTACCTTATAAGCTCCCTGCATGTTCCCTGAGTCACTACTATCCTCAAAAGGTAATATTATCCCATTTGCTGACATCACAAATTAGTTTTGATTTGTTTGAATATCATATAAATGGGCCCATCTGATGTGTACATACTGTTGTCTGGCCCTTTTGTTCAGTGTTCTGTTGGTAAGTTTCCCACATCATGAAGCTTGTTCATCCTTGTTTCTGTGCAAGCCTCTGTTGTGGTGACTACTATAATGTATCTATCCTATTGTTGACAATTTGGGGCTATTATGAATGATGCAGTGATGACCATCCTACAGCATTTCTTTTGGTGAAGCTAGGGACACACTTCTGTTGGGTACACCATTGCCAGGTCATAAATAAGCTTATCTAGCTTCAACAGAACTAGATAACAGTTTTCCAAAGTGGCTTTGTCAATTTATACTCCCTTCAGCAGTGCCTAAGAGCCTGGGTTAAACCATAGCCTTACCAGCAACATCTTCTCTTGTGAAGTGGGATTTCCTGTATTAAACACCTCTTCTCTGAACCCTAGAGTGGCTCCTATTTTCCTTACACACTCTGACACCCCAAAAGATACCAGTCAGGGATCTGCTTAGTGCTGTCACTGAGAAGGCTCTAGGCTTGGCAGGGTCACATGACAGTCATTCCTTAAAAAAAGAAAGCCAGAGTAGAACAAAAACAAAAACAGGAGGGAGGGCTACCTACTCACATATCAATGCTGGGATGGTGTATGCACTGGCAGGAAGGAAGCAAGATCTACATTCTAGGGAAAAGAGCTTGAAATCCAAAAAGAACACTTATATTTCCAAGTTTCTTCCTTTTTCCCTCAGTTTTTGAAGCCAGACCCCAAAAATGCCCTCTCCACTTCACAGGTGCTGAGTTTGGGAAAAAAATGAGACTATTCTTATACAGTTGAAAGGTCCTCTGGTCATATGCAACTGGCTCTTAGGCATCCTGTCATATGGGTTCCTAAACTTTGACACCATTCCCCCCTTCTAAACTGGATTTTGAATTTCATAAGGCAGGAACCACAACTGTCTGAACTATATCGGGCATTTAGCAGAAATAAATAAATGTACAGTTAATGAATAGTTATGCATTTATTAAATAAGAAGAAAGAGGGTGGAAATAATATGAAAGAGAACTGAATACTCTAGAGTACTTTTACATAAATAACTACTCATCCTGAAAAGAATTAGCAGGCTAGTCTTAAAATTTCCATTTCAAAGATAAGGAAACTGAACCCAAGGAATTCAAACAACTTGCTCAGAGTCATAAAGCTGTTAAATTGTTGTGGCAGAACTAGGGCTGAGGTCTGCTGGGCTCCAAAGCCTGCTTGTCTCCCTGCCTACTTGGCCCCATGGTGGAGAGCAGAAGAGAGGTCAGCTCAACAGCTGTCAAGATCCTGTTCAGAGCCACTCAGCACCAAGGTGTCTGCTAGAAGACAATAAATGGGCTGGTTTTGAAGTGGCACAAGTTGCTCTTAGCCCCATGATAGCTGAATCCAGGTGTGGTATGAGTGGAGTTCACTCCTACTTCTTTTGTTTTCTACAGGAAATCACAATGTGGCAGCTGAGTAAAGGCCCTGGGAGATGAATTAATGTGGCAAGAAGTTCACAGATAGTACAGAGCTTTACCCTCCTGGGCTGTATATCCAATGTACAGAAATGGGAATGGCCTTGTTCTCTAACACTTTCAGGCATGTGAGAAACACCCAGCTGTAAGCAGCACTTGGTCTCCACATTGCTTTTTACAAAGCCCTCTTCTATCCCTGCACACTGAATGACCAATGAGTGCCACAGTAGTCATCTGAAAAAAGCCTGTTCCAGAGACTGGGCCATCATATAAGATAAAATCTATTTCAACACACATATGTGAGTACATGCATGAATACACTCATCCATTCAATCCAAACCTGAAGCATTATGACTTGAAACAGAATCCCTGATACTGCTGTATACTTGAAAGTGGAGCCATAGCATACGCCAACGTTTTTGCAGACATTACCCTGTCTAATGCCCCCATCAACTCCCTGAATGAATTAGTGTCTCCATTTTACAGTTGCAAAAGCTGAGATGTGAGAAGGTGCAGTAGCTGCAGAGTACAAGGATGCAGAGTATAATGATGCAGAGTGCAATGATACATATCTGCATGCAGGCCCAGGTCCATCATTTACTGGCACTGCTTTCTGCTACACAGCCTATGTGTGAACACCATGTCTGGGTGTGCTTCCAGGTGCCAAAAGAACTTCACAAGGCACCTCCAGCAGCTGAATGCTCTCTGTGGTGAAACAGAAAACACTTTTCACTTAGATCTTGCAGTGTGGGCATGAGGAACAATTACTCAGAAAGATTATAAGGCATAGGAGCCCTATGAAATATGATTTCTGTACTGAATAATCAATCATCTAAGGAAAAAATACTGTAATACAAAAGGGTCAAAAAGTCTCCACCTCCTTGAAAATGAGTCTGAATTTTGTGCAGGCTTTCCCTACATGCCAAGCACAATGGGCCAACACTCCAGGCCAGTATCCTGCAGACAGAAGGGCAGCAGGGATCCAGCCAAGAGGCCTGTGGACATACCATGGCACCTCCAAGAGCCCAGGCCACTGCCTTCCTCATCCCAACTTTCATCTGTGACAAAACACCAAATAACTTGGGGGTGGTAGAGGATGATTCAACAACTGTTCCAAGTTTCCCAAGTTTCCCCCTGAACAGGCTGCCACCATCAATTTCTAAATTAAGAGGAATTGGGGGTGGGGGGAAGTGGAGGAAAGAAAAGGAGCATGATGATTGGAAGGCCCTGAAGCTGTTTGTACAGAATCTGAAATGTCAAGGTCTGAGAGTATTAGACAAATGAAAGCAGAATTATATAAAAGCAACAGTTAATAAAAGAGATTGTCAGATGCTGTGTTTCCATCCTCCCAAGTCATTACAGGAGTAAAATTATCCACAGAGAAAATGGAAAACTTTTTTTCAAAGCTGATACAATTAAGCTTTCGACCATACCTCCTTGATCCCCTCTTTCCAGCCTCCCTCCATTCCCCAAATCCCTCACCAATCTCCAGTTCCTGGGGATGTTGGAAGCACTTTTCTTCTTTGTATTAGTATGAGCAAAATGCATGTGTTTGAAAGTCAGAAAGGAGATCATGTTTTGTACCACCTTCTGTATACATTCAATGACTATTCACAATCATGGAGGAAAGTCTCATTTAAAAAATAGCCTACATCTTCATACAAAAGAAATTTGGACTTCACTTTATAATGAGTGGGAAGACCAGATTAGAAAGAACGGCTTGTCCTGGAGAATTTCCTTTCCTTCAGGAAAGCAGAGAACCAGTTTTAAGGAGGAGAACTATAGTAGAGAGGAGTGAGGAGAGTGATGAGAGGAAACAGACTTTAGGGAAGGAAAAATGCTGAAGCTACTTGCTTTCCACACCAAACAGACACACGCTACTAGAAGCCAAACTCAAAGAGGGAAAATGCAGGAGGAGCACAGCAGGTGACTGTAAAATTGCACATATAACAAAAAACATCTGTGCTTATGAACATATGGGCAACAGTGAAAATTAGAGCTATGGCTGGTGAAATTTTTTATCCTTTGCAGGATCTGAAATCACAATCCTTGTCATTATAGCTACAGTCGAACCTGGGCAGCAGGAAGCTGTCCAGGGAAATATGTGCTTGCTAAGAGCTACCTCTGCAGGCAGCTTGAGGTTACCTGCCAACCCTTGAAACCACAGGCTGTCACCATCAGTACTCCGTGTTCACATCACAATTCACATGGTCCCCTAAACACCCCCAAAAGAGTAAACAGGTGAGGGTATCCATGGAGCAGGGAGGAACCTCCTTCATGTTCCCACTGCCTACAGAAATCCAGGTTATCTGCCAGGCCACAGGAGACATCCCCTATGAAAATCAAGCCCCTTAAGCAAGCTGTCAATTTCAAACCTCCAAACCATGACAAACAATTCTCAAAGATTTACCTGCAATAAGCTAATGGCTCAGGCAGCTTGGCATGCTGTCTCAGGAAGGAGAGAGAACAATTTTTTTACCCTTCCAACCATCCCCTCTCACGTTTTAAGTCATTTCTTTGAAAAAAAATCTGTCATGGTCAACAAATGAATACCCCCTACCCCCACAAAGTAAGCAAGTTACCAAATGAAATTTTAATAATTGTTATAGGTTTTACAAAAAAGAATGACAAAAATGACATGTCTTTGAATCTCATTCATGTCAAAGGCTTATCCTTAGAAAAGCAATGTAGTTGCACTTTGATCTCTCCAACTCCCATGAGAAAACCAATGATACAACTTTAATACATTTGTATAGCAAGACTTCATGTTATTATTATTTTTATCCAACACAGCTTAACTAAAGTGAGAAAGGTATACTGGGTCTCAACACTGCCCTGTGGCAAAATGAGTTTTTTCTAAAATTGAACTATAATGAGCCAGTCACATTCAACAAAAAGATCTCTGTGCCTGCCACCTGCTGAAAGGTTGGGGGTGTGGTGCTCATGCCCCTAGGATGACTGACTATTGGGGAAATGAGCACTGAGGCCTGTGGGTTCCTCTCTCCCCAGTGGGGTCTTTAGGACTCGGCCCCCAAAAGGCAGCCTAGCCCTAGCCTTACCTTCCTCTCAATGTGCGCTAGTTGTTCCTTATAGAGGGTATTCTGGCATCTCAGCTCCCTGGCCTAGTTGGAAGAGAATAAAGCTCATGTTAAACAGAAGCAGCTAGGCTGGGGCTGCAAGGTAAAACCCACAATGATTTCTGTTCACAAAGACATGAAAAGAACAGCAATAATGAACTGAAACCTATTCTATGGTAGATTGCTTACCTACCTTGTGTTTATTTTTCACCACAAAACTTAAAGGTAGGTCATTGCTACAACCATTTCACAGATGACAAGCACTAACATTTACTGAATTCTTACTAATGTATGTGCCAAGTACTGGTCTAAGTGCTTCTCACAGATTCTTTCATTTGATCCTTACAATTTCTCTAAAGGATAGGTAGGATTACTATGATCTTCTATTATAGATGAAGAAACAGAGGAGCTAAGTTACTCCAAAGCTCACAGCTACAAGGGAGTAGCTGGGTTTGAACCTCAGCAAATACAGGGCCTGACCATGGAGTCCTTACACCTGGCACCACACCATGCCACTAACTCACTGTCTAAATCATAAGAGGCAGTGCAGGGGTGCCAAAATGCCCTTTTCCTGGTCAGGCAAACTCTCTGCCTTAGGGGTCAGGGATCTGAAAGGTGAATAGTATCAGAATCCCAGAATCTTACAGCTGCTTCCTCACCCACCTGATGCAGAACAAACAGAACTGTTGGTGCACATAGCTGAGGACCCTCCCTCATGGTCACAATTAGGCTGAGAGTGGCTTGGCTAACTAGCACAAGCAATGTGGAACTAGCAGATTTGGGGCAAACCCACCCCATCCTTAACTAAATGGGTGGCCTGAAACAATTTCCTAACTCCGCCAAGTTCCTGCTCGGTTAGGTATAATATGCAAACCTGGAACGGGGCCCCACAGGACTGTGCAGAGGTAAAGGAAACCCCACAGAAAGGGGCATGGTCACTTCAGGCCATCACAATGGGACACCAACATCATGGCAAATCGGGGTCTGAGCACTCTGGAAGACAGGGTTGGTGCTTGTAGGAGAAATAATGCCATCTGTTTGCCATCTGCCCTCTGCTAAGGGTCAAGTGTGCTCAGATACCATTCTAGACTCCCATGTCACTTAAGTCTCATTATCTCAAGAGCACACAGCTAGTCCACAACTGAGGTGGCCCATGAACCTGTCAGTGAGATTCTGAGTTCTTGGCTTTTTCCTTCAAACTCCACTATGGTATGAGTACCTGGGTTTGAACTGTTAAAAAAATACTAGGTAGGACAAGAACTGATATTTTTGAAAGCTCATTTCCTTAGCACTGCTATTGTCCTTGGCATGAAACCTTTCTGAAGCCTCAATGGGAGTTGAGGGTAGGGGGTAGGTTGGTCATGAGCTGACTATACAACTGCGCCTGAGGAAAGGCTTGGGTTTAGAGGATCACACTGCTGCTAGGAAAACTCCAGGTCAGCAGGGCTTGGCAACAGGCCGACCACTTGAGAGTCAAGTTCTAATGCCAGCTAGACCACCAAGTGGCCTGTAAGCTTGAGCAAGCTTCTAGCCTTTTCTGTGTATTTTTTTCTTACCTGTGGAATAGAGAAATGAGTAGTAACTTGGCTCTGGAGGCAGCTGTAGAATATCTAAAATTGCCACAAAGGCTTCGGGAATGCCTATGTAATGCCAACACTTCAAAAAAGCTAAATACAAACAGTGAGGCTGAATGTTGGGGATTTCTTGCAGGATTTTTCAAAGCACAATGCTGAGCACACCCCGGGAATGCGGGCACAGCTAATTTGTGCTGGGCCTTCAGCAGACAGCCCTGAATGGTTAAGTATCCCTGTTGTAAACAGAGAAGTTGGTCTGATACAGTAAAGCAGCCAGCACAGAAATATCTCCCAAGACCCTGGACCTGCCATTTTCTGGCCAACAGACCCAGCCAAACAAGAGGATGACATCGGAAAGCAAAATTATTTTGAGGCTCTTCCACAGGCATTCACAAGGGGCCAGTGGGGCAGCAGACAAGGAGGCTCTTCCACACTTCTATCCACCATCTCATTAACACACTGGGATGCCTCCTCTGGGCAGAGCCTCCAGGAATGCTTAGCCCATGGTTCCTGGGCCTGTGCCAGCATGAACACCAACACCAGGAATGTGAAACAGAGCTAAGACTCCAGTCAAACCTCTCCAACCACCACAGCTTCCTCAGACCACTGAGAGACTGTTCACAAAGAAGGAGGTATATTGAGGAGACAGAAGGCGTTCTGTAGTCACATCTTTGCCACACAACTAAGCTGTTATCAAGTAAATAAGTGATGAACTGTTTCAAAAGGTATAAGTCTGTCTTGCCTACAGGAATGGAAACTCTAAGAGGAAAGCCCTTGCCTGATTCCAGTAAACCCCCAAAGCCATAGCCTCCATCACAGTGAGCCAGCCAGGTGACTAGCTCACTGCTTTCATCCCATCCGCTAATCAGCACTACCTACACATTCTGTTCACCTCTGAGATTTATAATGAAATCCAATGATTGACACTGGACAAGAGATGACATGGAAAAGGGCTATGGAAAATGAATAAGATATCAACACCTGGAGTTCAGTGCCTGGCCCAGAGCAGGCACACAATGATTCAATTCTGATGAATGGGGGTGGGCATCAGACAACACTAGTCACTCTACATAGCTGTTATAGTCCAATATCTACTTCTCAGCACTTGTGATAGGCCATGCAACAGGCATCTCTCAGCATGACCATGAAATTAGGGAGGCATAGACAGGTTTCAGTGTCTGATTCAGTAATCATCAGAACATTATTGATTGTCCACCATGTGAAAGACACTATCGTAAAGGGGATGGGGTTACAAAAGAGAAAAGAGACAGAAAGTTTCTGCTCCATGGAGTTTAGATCCTAGTGGGAGAGACAAATGTGTAAGCACATAAATTAGATAATTTCAGAGAGGAATTATGTGCTGGGGAAACCACAGACAGAGAAACATGTGAGGGTAGGAGTTGCCATTTTCTCTAAGGAGATTTCCAAAAGACTCTTCTTGGGGGAAAACACTGAATAAAGTATGTTGTTTCCAATACAAAGGAAAAACATCACCATTATGAAGATCTACTCAGCAGATTATAGTCTTTGAATTGGGAACTGAAAGGAATCTTTAGTGATTTAGTCAAGGACTTCCTTCCAGTTAAGAGAGCACACAATGAGTTCATATACTCTGATGTGTTTACTCTGCTCCAAGCATATAGCAGGCAGATTAAAAATAAGAGTACAAGACCAAAAAGACATGGTAAAGCTCAAAACAAGATAAAATGCCCAACAAGACAAATGCAAAGCAGATGAGGCTTCAGAGATAGCCCAAACAAACAGAGGTAAGGAACTGAAGCCAGGTTTGCCACACAAATCCTAGATTTCCCCCAAAATAAGAAGCTGGTGTAAAAAATTCCTCAAGATTCCCAAGCAGGATGTGGGTTTCAGTTTGCCTGAACCTAATTTCAGCCCACAGGCCAAGGCTATAGCCCTAACAAATGAACCACACACCATGGTTCAGGTCCCAGAGCCACAGCACCACCAGGACCACCACAGAGACAGGCCTCCTAAGGGCACAATTGCACCTGGCCCTGCACTTGGGTGCAGACATAGGCAACCACAGAGATGCTACAAAGGGAGAAAAGAGAATGAGAGAAAACCAAGCAAAGCAAAACAAGGCAAGCATCAAACTTTCTTCTTAAAACAAGCCTGCAAACCAATCCCAAATATGTGTAGAAATGTAATGCTTAGAAGGACTACCAATAAAATCAACTAGAATATGATTCTGAGACAGGCTAGTAAGCCAGGACAAGTGGATTAGAGAAACTGAGCCAGGATAGCTGAACAAAATGGCCAAACAATTTACAGCCAAATACAGAAAGTCACCTCTCTAGAGATAACATCCAGGCCTTAGTTCTATTTCTTGTCCAGGACCAGAAAAGCGGCAAAACCAGGTGAGTGATGCCAAGACCAGCTCCAATGACTAGAGACCCTCTGCCCTGGCACTGACCAATCAGTGGAGGTCACAACCCTGAAAAAGTGCACCTGGAAAACTGATGAATATTCTGCCGAAACTCTCCTTGAGACCTCCCCTAAGATTCCCACCTGCAAGAGAGAGATGAAAGCCTCAGGACAAAAGAAGTGACCCAGTGCAGATGGGGAGCAGCCCGCACTATTCTCTTTCTCTTCTTCCCTCACAGGCACACATCTCCTAAGCTCTAAGAGACTTGCAATCAGGGAAGCAATGGGCAGTGGCAGTTCATCGCAGGCTAACTCCCTGAACTTGTCCCCACAGGCCCCTTTTTCTGACTTCACAGTGAGCTAAGGCAGTCCAGCCTGAGTTCTCCTGTTCTTTCTTTTATGCTAAGCCCTTCCTTATTTTACTGTTCCAGCTTTAATAAATGTACCCTCACAGTCACCTTCACTTGTGTTGTGAAATCTTTCCTGCACTACATTAAGAACCCACACACTACAACTGGTCCCAGGGAGACCCTCTCAGGGTCAGATCCTTTATCCAATAACAAGATCACTCCTGATTAAATTTATTTATGGGACATTATAAACAGAATTAAAAAAAAATTTTTAATTATGCAAAAATTTAAATGCAAAACAGAATAATGTAATAAAACCACAGACAGCCATCATAAAGCTTCAAAAATTATAAACTAAACAAAATCTTGTTTAATCTATATTCTCCACAACCCCCAAACCCTCAAGTTTCTTGTAGGAGACCATTTCATCTGTATATACTACCATTGCACATCAAAAAAAAGATTAATGGTGGCAGAAGAGGGTAGAGGGGATAAATGGCTATGGAAGGAGACTTGACTTGGGGTGCTGAATAAACAATACAATATACAGATTATATATTATAGAATTGTACACCTTAAACCTATATAATTTTATTAACCAATGTCATCCCAATAAATTCAATAAAAAGGCAAAAAAAAGCTAATTTAGTATCATAAAATATTTAGCCAGTGTTCAAATTTCCAAATGATAAAATGTTTTAAATGTATAGTTAAGATATTAAAAAGATATATGGAAAGAATAACTTTTAATTTAGAAAGAAGAAATTATGAACCAGAACAGGAAAACCCCCCAACTGGGTAAATATTATAAATTTAAAATTCTTCAAAATGAAAAATAGGACAAACCCTAGATTGAGGGCAGTAAGGAAGAAATTAACAAATTGAAATATAGCATAGAGATTTCAACCAGAATGTTGCAATGAGAGACAAAGATAACAAGTGTGAAAGAAGAGTCTGTCAGTATTGACATGCTATTTCAGAACAGCATGGCAGGGAAGGCAGAGGAAGAGGAAGGTGGAAAAGGAAGAAAAGGGAGGGAGAAAAGAGGAAAGAAAAAGAGGACAGATGTAAAGGCAAGTTAGAGAAAGAGGAATGTGGGGAAGGTTAGGGTGAAGATGAGGTTGGGGGAGGGAGAGGTGGACATAAAAAGAAAAATGGGGGGACTCATGGAAAATGAAGGGAGAAGGAGAAGGAGGAGAGGATTAAACAGAAAATATCAATTAAAATTATAGGAATAAGTATAAGAAAACCAGTTATCACAATAAATATGTAGGAGACAGCTTCTAAAATGGACCACAGTAGTCATGCCCTTGTGTGATGCCCTCTCCAGAGTATGGGCTGTTGTCATATGACTAATTTCTGATGCATAGAATATGGCTAGTATGATAAGATGTCACTTTCTGATTGTCAAAGGCAGTGATTTTCATCTTACTCACACTCTCTCCCTCACTTGATCAAACGATAGAGATGTCCACATGGTAAGGAACTGAGCCAGTAAAAAGCTAAATCCTGCCACATGAGGGAAGATGAAGCAGTGCCTTCCCAAGCTGCATCCTCAGATGAGACCTGAGTGCAGCCTGTGAGAAACATTGAGGCAGAGGTACCAGCCAAGCCAGGCCCACATTGCAGATCCACACAAACCATGAGATAATAAATGTTGACCATTTTAAACCAAATTTTGTAATCTGTTATTTAGCAATAGGTAATACAAAATGTGAATCAATTAATCTCACCCTTAACATTACCACTTTGGATAAAAGAAATAGAAAGAAAACTCAACTATATTCCATTTATAAGAGACCCAATCCCCCATACTAATAGCCTTACAAAACAAAAGAAGACCATTCACTAGACATAAATATAAATGGCAGTCTCCACTGTTTTGTTTCATTTACACATAAGACTGAACATTCAAACAGAAAGATTTTAAAACACACATTAAAAAAAAGGGGGAACGATCTACCTTAAAGAAAAAATACTCAATAGAACCAGATGTAGCAGTGGCCCAGACATTAGAATCAACATAAAAAGACTTTAAAATAATTACAATTAATATGTTAAAGAATCTAGTAAAAAAGGGTAGACGCCACAGGTGAAAAGATGGAGAATTTCCACAGAGATATGGATACTATCTGGCCTCTATTATTCATGATAAGAAATCAACCGTTAATATCATTGAAG